TCTGTCTCTTCTGTGCTCTTTCTGTCTTCTTGTGGGCCTTGGTGTCAAAAAACACTCGCATCTTAAGTTGATTTGCTTTGTTTCTGTCTCTTCTGTGCTCTTTCTGTCTTCTGGTGGGCCTTGGTGTCAAAAAACCGCTCATCTTAAGTTGATTTGCTTTGTTTCTGTCTCTTCTGTGCTCTTTCTGTCTTCTTGTGGGCCTTGGTGCCAAAAAACTACCATCTTTTTGTTTCTGTCTCTTCTGCGCTCTTTCTGTCTTCTTGTGGGCCTTGGTGTCAATAAACTGTCTCTTCTGTGCTCTTTCTGTCTTCTTGTGGGCCTTGGTGTCAAAAAACTCTCATCTTAAGTTGATTTGCTTTGCTTCTGTCTCTTCTGTGCTCTTTCTGTCTTCTTGTGGGCTTTGGTGTCAACAAACTCTCATCTTACGTTGATTTGCTTTGTTTCCGTCTCTTCTGTGCTCTTTCCGTCTTCTTGTGGGCCTTGGGGTAAAAAAACCTCTCATCTTAAGTTGATTTGCTTTGTTTCTGTCTCTTCTGTGCTCTTTCTGTCTTCTTGTGGGCCTTGGTGTCAAAAAACTCTCATCTTAAGTTGATTTGTATTGTTTCTGTCTCTTCTGTGCTCTTTCTGTCTTCTTGTGGGCCTTGGTGTCAAGAAAACTCTCACCTTAAGTTGATTTGCTTTATTTCTGCCTCTTCTGTGCTCTTTCTGTCTTCTTGTCGGCCTTGGTGTCAAAAAACTCTCTTGCTTTGTGTCTGTCTCTTCTGCGCTCTTTCTGTCTTCTTGTGGGCCTTGGTGTCAAAAAAACTCTCATCTTAAGTTGATTTGCTTTGTTTCTGTCTCTTCTGTGCTCTGTCTGTCTTCTTGTGGGCCTTGTCTCTTGTGTGGTCTTTCTGTCTTCTTGTGGGCCTTGGTGTCAAAAAACTCTCATCTTAAGTTGATTTGCTTTGTTTCTGTCTCTTCTGTGCTCTTTCTGTCTTCTTGTGGGCCGTGGTGTCAAAAAACGCTCATCTTAAGTTGATTTGCTTTAAGTTGATTTGCTTTTTTTCCGTCTCTTCTGTGCTCTTTGTGCCTCCCATGCACCTCGTAGTGATGCAAGTGGTGCTGTGGAATGCCCCCGACTTTTTTAGCATTTTCTCTGTCATTTTTGTATCCGATGCCCTTGTGGAAAGTCGGGGCCCAGTTTGTCAAAAAACATTGCACTCATGATGCCAAAAAGTCTTATTTTTTGCTGTGTTTTTGTGTTTTACAATGTTTCGTTAACCTCAACATACTGCCTCAAGACACCCAAAAGTCTGCAAATCCAAATCTCGAACTTTCACCCCCCCCCCCCCCCCCCCTGCAAAACCTACCGGGGAGAAACTCAAAGCGATATTCATCGCTTTCCGTCATCCTTAACTTATAACGGTGCATATATACGTATGTGACTGTGCATCCTTCAATGACATGGGGTGCTCAATACATGATTGACTAATGGCTGAAAGCACTGCAAAGCAAACAAACAAATCCGGCATGAGTCATGATTGATCTATAGGCCAGGGCATGACTTTGTTGATCTCTGGGTGACTGTCTACCAAGGGGTCTTCATTTGGGGCCTAGCTGAAGTGCGCTCGACCTTTTCTCTTGGTGGCACTTGCGATGTCGCCACACTTCGGACAAACTGCTGCGGGAGAGGTGAGCAGCTTCACACATCTTGGTACCTCCATAAGTGACAACAAGTACACTATAGGTCTGCAGCATTTTCGTCCTCAATTGCCAGTGAAACAGTGATGACTTGACTACCTCATTTTCAGAGCGAGTGTCCTGAAGCGCTTTCACGCATGCATTGTCACCTTGATTGCCGAAGGGAGAAAGCTGGAGCAGCC